GCCTGCCACAACACCCAGCTATTTTTTTTGTAGTTTGGCCCGGGCTGGGTTTGAACCCGCCCCCCCTCGGTATATCGGGCTGGCACCCTACTCACTGAGCCACAGGCGCCGCCCTCTTAGAATCTTTATATCACAATTACTGCCTGACATATACTTCAAAACACCCATGTCAGATACTTCAAGAAGGTCTTATTCTAACCAGGAGTCATGAGAGGAAGAAAGTTCCTTTCTAAATTTAAGTGGAACTCTTCAAAACTCCTATTAACTTGGATTTCTTTTTTTCTAGGGTACTTCAGGCCCTATACAGAGACCTCAGCTGTCAAAGCTCAAGAGGAAGAAGCCAAGGGGGCTCTTCAGTTAACCTGGCATGGTCTCAGCTGCTGAGGATGGACTTGGAACATAGCTTCCAAGCTTCTCCTTCAAAGGAGCTCACATGACAGCAACACCTTTAAAACAGGGTTATACAGTCAGAGGGCCACTGTAGGGGCAAGAGAATTGAAGTTCATGTTGACAGGTCACTTGAATGAGGACTGTTAACCAAGGGAAGCTTGGCTCCAACCCACTGGGCATTGGCTTTCCCTATTTAAGTGGAAGCCAGATTCTGAGAACCCTGTGCCCTCCTCTATTTTAGTTCTCTAGGCCTAGGACCCTACCATGAACTCTAGGCACAATATGCTCAGCAAGCTATGGCTGTCTTTCTCAAGAGTCTCTAGCAAGTCCCAGGTGCTCCTCAGACACCCACTTCTCTCTGTAGTTTGGAATATAATAAAACACACACACACCCCTGCTTTTGAGATTACTTACTCTGTAGAACTCATAACCTACTCACTGGGCCCCACCTCATTGTTATCTTTGGATGAATCTGTGTCCTCAGTACAATCTTTCAGATTCTTCTTAAACTTCTCTGCTGCGGACTGAGCTAAGTCTCCATTCAGAAACTTTGGTCTCAAGAACTCTCTTCATTGTGGGCACAAAACAAACAAATGACTGCTGCTCTCCTTTGCCAAACTTGGATATGTTTTTCTGTTTGTTCCCAAGGCATAGACAATAGGTTAAACCAGTGTGGGTTGAAATTACAAAGAGCTTCAAGCACTAGGCCGAGGTAGCTTCCCACTGGGGTGAGAGAAAAAGGAACTTTTTCTTTCTTGTTCTCTACTTCACTTCAAATAACATGTAACTAGAAGTAGGAAAGATAGGAAAGGATGACAGGAACAGGAAATGGCTGCAGGAGTTCATAGGGACAACAGGTTGGCCTCTAGAACTAATAGTGCCTAGCAGGAAAAAACATAAAGGTTGTCTGAGATAGGCAGAATCTTAGGAAAGTTGACTCTTCAGCACCCTAGGATTGGCAAAGTCCCTTGACCGTCTCTGCTAGACTTTCCTGTGTAGGTAAGAACATCTGAAACTTTACTCTGGAGACATAGGAACAAAAGTAGCACTCATTCTTGGGGAAATGCTAAGTAGAGGAAAGGGTCAGAAGTGTAATACAGAGAACTTCTCTAGTTTATTTACTTTTGATGGTCAAATGCCTCCACATTTATATATCCTCTCTAGCTGGGACTGGTGTTTTTGTCCTGGTCATGGGCAGAGGATGATCAAACAATAATCAAATAATTATAATAAAAACAACAATAACAAGCCAGGCGCAGTGGCTCATGCCTATAATCCTTACACTCTGGGAGGCTGAGGGAGATGAATTGCCTGAGCTAACAGGTTTGAGACCAGCCTGAGCAAGAGTGAGACCTCGTCTCTAAAAATAGCTGGGCATTGTGGCAGGTGCCTATAGTCCCAGCTACTAGGAAGGCCGAGGCAAGAGAATCATTTGAGCCCCAGAGTTTGAGGTTGCTGTGAGCTATGACAGCATGGCACTCTACTGAGGGTGACAAAGTAAGACTCTGTCTCAAAAAACAAAACAAAACAAAAACAACAACAATAATAAAAAACTTAAAATTTATTGAGTAGTTATTGTATACCAGCTACTCTAATATGCACCTGACATTGAATCTTCACAATATCATATCAGGAAGACACTGTTAACCCACTAGGAAATCAAGTCTTGAAGTGATTAAGTGACTTATTAGAGGTAATAAGTGACAGCCAGAATTTGAACCTAGACAGCATTATTATATATACATTAATGAAAATATTTCCCAGAGGATGTTAGGTCCTTCTTTCCAATCTTCCACTGTACCCATCATTGTCCTATGCTCCTGCCTCCTTGTAATAGGATACTATACCCTTGAAGACTCCAGGACTTAACCCCCATCCCTTCTCCTGCATACATAGTCAGAAAACTACAGCAGGACTCATTCTCAGTTGCTACTGCTAACTTTTCTTTGCCACTAGACCATAGTCCCCCAGGGTGTGCCCTGTGGTCCTGACGGCCACCAAAGGGTCCATCAGCTGGCTCGCTTTCTTCTTTAGTTTCTTTTCAGCATAATTTGGATAGCCACATTTCAGTGTCTACAAGGCATGAGACCATATGGAAAACAGAAAGGCCTCCCCAGCAAGCTTGAAGAGAACGTGGGTTCCTTGCCCTAGATAATCCCTCTTCTTTAAGACCACAGTCTCAAGAGCAGGCATTTTTAATTTTAGGGGAACCAGGGGCTTGTGAATCCCTAAAAATTGTAAGTAAAACCCTAAGAGCATAACTTTGTTCATGTTGTCAAAAGAGTGTGTTTAAGAGAGAAGTTTTAAAAAGATTAAAAGTATAACTGGGAACCTTCCTACTGCTGCCCGCTTTTTTCCCAAGGGTGGCTGCCTCCACTGGGACATTGCTTAAATAGGCCCTTAGGGAAACTGAGGCTCTGACTTAGGCATTCTTGCCCCTGAAGCCTTTATCCCCCAAAGCTAGGAGTGGTGGTTGAGAATCATTCATCCCAAGGCAACTCCAGGGAAATCCCTGCTTTGACAAATTGGCCTAGCCAGGCTGTATTCCAGCCCTGCCCCCTGGCTTGGGCCCCTCCCTGAGGCCCCCAGCTTGGCCCAACCCCCACTCCACATGCACATAAAAGGGTCGAATTCTCGTGGCTGCTCCATAAATTTTATTCCGTAAATATTAGTTTTCCCTGTGTTTAATAAAGCAGTGGCCCACCTCCCCGCCTACCCACCCGCTCCCCGGGGCCGGGGCTGGGGCCAGGGGCTGGCTGGTGGGAGAAGGGACTCTTTCAATTGCTTTGGAGTATTTTTAGAAAAAAAAATAATATAAGGTGGTTTACACGAGCAAGCCAGCAAACCAGGAGTAGGACTGGGGACCTCGAGGAAGTTCTTGCAGGAATTTGACTTAAAAAGTAGAGAAATAGCGCCACCTAGGTTGCAAGGCCTACTTGGCCTTGCTGACTGGTCCCCCCCACAGTCAGCTAGGACAGGCACACACTGCTAGGAGAGAAAGCCTCATCCCTTTGCACTTTACCCCAGTTGCATCTCCTTTTTTCATGCCTCACTGTGGGATTTGCCAACAACCCTTAAAAGCAGAGCCCAAGCCTGGCCCTGGAAAATCCCATCAGGGTCATTCTGTTCTCCATTTACCATGCGGCCAGTCTCCCAGATCAAGGAGTATTTCCAAAGGATAGTAAAGTTATTGACAAGGGACTTTCTTGTTTTCATCTTCTCCTGAGTCCCAAGGAGCTATCCCTGGAATTCCTGGGGTGTACAGTGGCAAAGAGTGAGATGTGTGCTCCTGTGCTTGGGACCGAGAAAGCATCTAGCCTGGTCAGATTAAGACCCTTCCACGGGCCTCGCCCAGTACATTCCCAGTCAGCACTGGGGGAAGAAGTGCTCACATCCTCAGCCCTACTGTTGCTTGTTTTTATCCTGTGGCACATTTGGACTCCCTTTTCTTTCCTTCCTGTTCACTTAAACCTCCCATTTTCCCAAGCTTCTGCCTCTTCCTTAGTCCAGGCCTGTTGGGAGATAAGCAGCAGCCCCTGTGTCCATTCTGTACAAAGATGGCAGGTAGAGTGGGTAGTAGAAAGGCTAGGCCTCGCCTCCTGGCTCTGAATTTGGTCTCATTCCTAACATTGTCACCAGGGGCATTTTCTTCTCTCCACTTGTTTTGTTCCTCACTTCCTCCTTCTTATAAAACTAGAAACATTTGCTCCAGAGAGTATAGGAGCAGCCCAAGTCCTCTCAGTAACCCTTCCTCCAAGATATATGAAGCTCACTCTATCTGTTCTGCTTTCCCTGTCACTAATTATGCTATTAATGTAGTCTGTGCTAATAGATACATTTCCTATGCACTTTTTTTGTTTTCATTCTTTCATTGGATTATGAAAAAAGGGTCAGTTTTTAACCCTAACTCAGAAAATACCACTGTGATGGTATACTACTACTACAGGGAAAAACTTTAACTGGATTTTGATATAATTAGGGTATATTTTTCTAAGCTCTGCTCTGAAGTCATTTCTATCTTCTAATTTGCCTGAAGAAGAAACTTCAGGAGTAAGTGACATACTACAAGGAAGCCCCCACACTCAGAGTTCAGGAACTTTTGGTTCCCAGTCCCTGTTGCTAATGTCCATAGCTGTATGGGCTGGCAAAATTCTTAAGGATTATACAAGGTCCTTAGATACAGGGGGAAAGGTAGGAAGAGAAGGGCACCCACACTTTGGAAGGAATGAGGTTCCCTAGTTGCTGTGACCCCTGGAAGCTGCTATAGGATACTCTAGTCAGGGCTCCTTATTGCTCCATGTTTCTTCCTTGTTCTCTGGGCCCAGGTCTCAGAAAATCCCACCATGAGGGGAAATGTCTAGTGAGGAGAGGGTATGAGGCAGCTTGTCAGAGTGTGAGGGGAGGGACATTAGGGAATCCCTCGTATCTGAGGAATGAGAAGTCTATCTTCCTTTTCTTTCATCCCAGGACCCACTGAGGAATACTTTTTCTCCTGAGACTTTCATTATGGTGCTGTTTTCTGTGTCCCCTCAGTTCTGAGGCTTCATTTCTCTACCCTTGCCCATGGGAAGTCATTAGGTAACACCAAAGTATTCTAGTGAAGAGCTAAGCCCCACCCTCACTCAGTTTCTCTAACTGAAGCCCAACAGATTTTGCTAGCCTTCCACCCTACAGGCTCCTTTGAATGAGTGCTAGCCCCCGGCACCCAGCTCTCATGGGTTCTGGAGAATCTGGGCTAGCCTACTAGGGGAACCCGGAAGAGACGGAAGAACTCCAGGGTGTGGGGAACACACAGCCATTGACTCACCTGGGAAGATTGTGCCAGGATTACCTGCCCTGCTGGGCCAAGGGCCAGTAGTTAAGGGAGCATGCAGTGCCACACTCTTCCTCCCTCCCCCACTTTGGGGCCAAAAACAGTAGCAGGGTTAAAATTGGGGAGTAGGACTCGGGGGCTGCTGAGAGTCCCTTCTGAAATCTGGGTGTTGTATTTACTTTTTCATATTGGCAGCTGGAAGGGGAAGCCCATCCCAGCTCGGCATTGTTGTCTAACATGGTTAATCAGATCCTATAATCCTGCTGTGGAAATATTGGGCCTCACTCAGAACAATAGAGACCAAGAATATTGTGGTTAAATTTCAACCAACTGCCTCCCTGGCCTGTTTGCCTAACCCCTACCCCCCTGTTCTGGGCCAGAGTCCTCCCAGCTTTATGGACCCCTGATAGGATCGAGGGCCAGTCAGAAATGGGTGACAAGAGAGGGGGAATGGAGTAGGGGAAGGGTAATCCTCTTGACTGGCACTCCATCCTGCCTTCCCCTCCCACCTCAGACCTTGAAAAGTGATCGGGGGTAGGGAGAAGGGTTGAGGCTGGTAGGGAAGCACCACAGTG